TTGGAGCTTGATGATCCGAAACCTGCTTTCCTTTTCCCTTAACATCTTTCGATGTCTTGTTAGGATGCGAAGCATACTTGTTTTGTGAGTTGTGAGGTTTAGGATTCTCCACAGGGCTTTTTGGCTTTGAAAGAATAGGTTTTTGAAAAACTTTTTGTTTAGTGTCATATGGACTGCGAAACTGACTTTGCAAAGAGCTCTTTGGATTCGCATTTGATGCTACTTTCGCATTTTGATTGATAGGTTTTTCAATGCGAACGAAGTTGGGATTTTTGCTTTGCCAGAATTGTTTTCTTTCCTTGAGATTTTTGTTGTATCTCGCGTTCCTTTGACGTTTCTGTGTTGCGAACTGTTCTGAGGATTTGTGAATGTTAACTTTCGCTCTTGGCTTTCTTGCTGGAGTTTCATTTTGTACTGAAGATGTGTCGCTAGGAACATTCTTAGTTCCACTGGGACTTCCTTTCTCGTAGCTGGAATTGACCTTGTTTAAAGGTTCTGCTTAGACTATTTGATTCTTATTTACCCCATTGATTTTGAAAACCTGATTAGGGACAGTTTGGACTTTTGGAAAAACAGTCGCAATTTCTTTTAATACATTTGGATTATTTTCAGAAAGACGTGCGAATTCAACAGAATTTTCAGAAATTGGGACTTTCGCAACATTAGTTTCGATTTTAACAAACTCTGAGCAATCAACCTCATCCTCTACAGATATTTCACTCATATCACTGTCATCGTCAAATTCAGATGTGTTATTAACATTATGTTTGTTATATGAACTCAACTTTGTACTCAATGAGTGAAATTTATGTACAGTGTCATATTTAATTTGCTTTTTGTCACTTTCGTCCAAAAGCTATTTTAGCATGTTCTTGTGGTCTTTGGACTTAATAAATGATTCAATTTTGTCCATACCACTCCTGTAAGCTTCCGAAGTTTCGTCAGATGAGACGATGGATTCGCACTTGTAAGAGTCAGCGTCGATCTCATCCTCCTTTAATTCAAGGAAGGGCAATATCATCTTATGGAGTTTTTGACTAATCTCACAATCAAGATGCAATTGAGTAATATTAAGATAAAGCCTTTTCGCAATAAAAAAATATTACTTTGTTTCAAAAGCATTAAATTGTTTCTTTGTAAGTAAATTAACTCATCCCTAGACTTAGCTAAATCATACTCATTCTTCTCTATCCATATGCATCTCATCTCACTCTTTGACGAAAGCCTACTAATTTTATCGGTTAAGTTAGAATTTGTCAAGCAAGTTTGTTTCAAACTATTACTGATACTAGAAAATGTGAATTTTAACTCATTTAGTTCAGTTTCGTATATTGACACAGGTATGTTGAGAGATTTAAGAATAGAATTTACCTTGTTAATCATCTGATCACATTCGCTGATTTTCCCCAAAACTGGTTTTGCAGCGAAACAACTAGCACTTCCACGTCCACTATCAGTGGCGTATCCTTGCATCTGTGACACATCACTTGTCACCATGAAACTTCTTCCTCCAGAATGCGAATCCTCTTCTTTCGCAACGAAAATTCTCCCATGAGTAGGCCTGCGAACCTCCTCATCTTCAGAATCAGTGGACCAGACTTCCACCCTGCCAAATTCGTCATCAGCTGCTTTTTCCTGCACAATTAAAGGAGACATTGAATTATCAGAGTTCTTTTTCTTCTTTATCTCCTCAAGCTTTCGGAGATGGTAAGTCTCATCGTCTTCTCCTTCATTCTTTTCATTCAACCTTCGCACAATGCACTCTTTGGCCAAGTGATTTTTGCCATGACACTAGTTACAATCATAGCCAGAGTCACCAGTTAGCTTCTTTTCCTTCTTTTCCTCTTCCTTTTGTGAGCTATTCACACTCTCCTCTTTTACCTTCTCAGAGCTGTAGCTTCCTTGCCGGTTTCAGTTCTTGTTGGAGGGAAACTTCTTCTTTGCAAATCGCTTCAGATTTGACACCATCAATGCAAACTCTTCATTTGTAAGCTCACAATCAGAAAGATCAGATTTTGAACCATCCTCTGCTACTTTCTTGCCATTCGCAACGAGAGCCAAAGATCCCATCCCAGATACAACTTTTGCTTCTTTTGTCACCTCATTCTCATGTGACTTCAAGATTCCAACAAGCTTTGTCGGGGAATAATTCTTGAACTGCTCATGTGCCTTGACTGTAGACACCACCGCCATCTACTCAGATCTAAGCCCATTCATGAACGTCACTTTTTGTTCAATAAATTCACGTTCAATGCCATGTTTCATCATCCTACATATAAGATGATTGTAACGATTGAAAGTTTGACCCAAACTCTCTTCAGTCTTCTGTGTAAAGGCACCAAACTCTGAAAGCAGGAGTGTTTGCGTAGAGTGCTCAAGATCTGCATCTGTAGAGTAGAGTTCCTTAAGCCTATCCCAGATGGCTTTTGTTGTGTCACAAGAACTGACCAGGCGAAAAGTATCAGCAGGCAAAGCAAATCAAATGATTCTCATTGCCTTGACATTGCTGATCAGTTTATCTTTCTCATTTTGAGGGACATCTTTAACTTCAAGAAGAAGCTTGTTGTAGTCAGACTGAGTTTTAATAACTCTTCTGGTTCCAGTGTGAACAAATGCTCCATTAGTGATGGCCTCCCATATTAGATACCTATTGTCTTCTAGACCGAGAACTTAATCTTCGAAGTGAAGCGCCCATACTTCATATTCATTGGGAAAAAGAATTGGGATCCTAGTGGTCGATCCAATACTGCTAGAAAGGTTTATGGAGTTGATGTGAGAATCATCGTGTTGCATGATGATATACCTTTTGAGACCTATTAAGAATTACATGTGTAAACTAATGTAGTTTTAGGGTAATATTAAGATCACAGATTAGCGTCAATGAAACTGTGATAACGGCTGAACCAGATCCAATATTAACGGAAAACCTAAATACTTTATAAACAGATGAGATGTATATAGATTACACAGTCTCCTGCTCTGATACCAATTGTTAGGATATTAATCCTTGACAGATCGATTAGATTCAAAACAGATTATGAACAAGAACAATACAATCATTCAAAATATGCTTAATGATTATAAGCCACAGCCTCAGAAGAAATCGATTAAGAATTGCTATTGTAGAGGCGTTTACATAAATGAACTAGTAAACAAACACAATGGCGCAACTCTAAATCCCAACAATATTCTTTCACCAAGATATTTTTTCCCAACAAGATCCAGTTGTTATTTTTCTTGGAATATGGTTTCTGTTTGAAGATCTTTTCGAATCTTCGTCACTTTGAAATATTTTCCACCTTACTTGTTCCTGACTACACTAGTCATAGAAGTAATTTTGTTCATTTTACTCACACTTGTGTCAAGTTGTGGTTTTGAATAAAATTTAGCCTACCTTCGAAGGCTAAGTAAAAGAAGCCCTTCAATATTCCTTCATGAGTATTTGATTGTACTTCACGGGATACCACACAAGCAGTTCAATATCTCTCTTGATGTTAAATGAAGTGTTCTTTTACCGGGACCCATCTGCTTTACATCGAATGCCTATTTGATGTCACTATATGCACATTTTTTATTTGGTTCCGGTTATTTCTTTGGCATACTTTTGCATAGAAATCCTCGAGGCCTTGGGTAATACCAACTCAAACCTAGATTCCGCAAGTCTGGCTATAATTTCGTTTTACATCCCAAAAGCGAATGAGCCCTTCCTCGAAACGATGGTCAAAGTGTTATCTTGGAGACAAAGCTTTTCATTGACTTCACAAATGTCAACTGACGGTTCTAAACCTCTTGGGGAAAATGTAACGTCAAGCGGATCTAACGGTTTAGTTCCTTCACGATTTTCAAAGGAAAATTGCTCATCACTTTTTCAGACGTGGTGACTTTTCCAGAAGAAGATTCACTTTCCAAGACTACACGTGGCAGTTGTTTATTGGTGAATTATTCAAATTCAAATTTTCTGTGGGCTATAAAAGGATTTGGTGGGAAAAACTAAAGACTTTACACAATCTGTTCTAATTTTCCCCAAATCTTTTCTTCAAGATAATTGTCTGTTCTTCAAAACCCTAACAATGGCGGCACCAAACGGTCATGTTGATCCATCTAATACCGCTGATGAAGCAACATCTCAACCACTGTTAAAGATTCAACGTTCAAACTATGGTCTTTAACCTGATGTCTCGAAGTATCCAGAAGAATTGAAGATGTTATTTGTTGCCCTTAATCACTTAGTTCTTTCAACAGTTATGTCTGCTTCTTTCTCCGTGCCCATGACTTGGTTATCATTGGTTGGTTCTACAGCAGTTTTTAACAAAACCTCTAAGGTGGTGACGTTTCAATTAACGAACGACAAGAAGTACAAACTCATAAAGAAACAGTTTGCACAAATCTTGAAGCTTCCAAATACAGGTCCATTTTACGAGTTTACCAATGAACATGTGGTTTATATGTTTAATGAGATGAGTCATCAACCCCCACTCACAGGAATCAGTCAGATTCACAAGGCTGCATTATCTTTTATCTTGAACTTTTTGATTGGGATTTTTCTACGGTGTCTAACAGGTCATAGCAATGGTATTGACAAATCAAAATTGGAAGTATATGCCATGGTTGCAGGGTTATACTATGATCTCAATGTAGATTATGTCACTCAGTTGTGGGAGGAGTTTGGAACAAGTATTTCTCACACCTACGTTACGAATGGTGTCTCCTGTGCGAGGTATTGGCGCTTGATTCTGCAAGAAATGTATGAGAACGAAGGCATTATGGTTCCATTTGATGTTCCATAGGCAGAGTTTACAATACATCAACGTCCGGAAAGTGTTGAAGATAATCCAGTGATGTTTTCTACAATGGCTCAAATCCCAAATGATTTGTTACGAAAGGTGGATCTGGCTCATCTTGTGCTTGTTACTTATTTGGCAACAACAAACCCTAATGAACAAGTAGGGGTTTTGTTACAAAAAGGGGCGGCAGGTACTTCAAACGTTGGTAACACGTCCATGAAATCTAAGAAGTATGAACAACCTAAGTCCATTCCTGAGCGAATTGAGAAGGAGGTTGTCCAACCAGTTCAAGAACCTGTGGTAAAAGATGTTGTTCCTTCGAAAACAAGTGTACTTAAACGAACCAAGAAGCCATCACATCGACCTCGTCACTCACCAGAACAACCAATCATTAAAGAAGTTCTTGTTAAGCCTCTCTCTTCACCAAAGGAGGGTTCTATTTCGAAGATCAAGAAAATTTGCAAACCCCAGCTCAATCGAAGGGGTGTGATAATTTCTGAGGTTCCATCTGCCGTTTCACCAGCTTTGAAGAAACGCAAAGCACATGAAATGGTGAAAATATTAAGAAGAAAAAGAAGCAATTGGAAGATCCTCTTGATGAGGTTGTTATGGAAACAAATTTCGAAAGTGGAAGCGATCGTTCTCCCATTCAAAATGAAGATATTGGCTTCGCATCACCACAAAGCGACTCTAAAGTTAAGTCGAATTTCGAGGAGACTAGAAGTCTTGGTGGTTCTGTGAAAGAATCCAATACAAACTCAACCACTAATTTAGGTGATTCTATAACTATTACCATCCCTGAGAAGACAGTAGTCATACCACCCGAGGTCTTGATGACTGAATCCATTACGGAGGAGGTTCGAACCTTAGGCATCCCTATGAACATATCTCATATGGACACTAATTTCAACAAGGGTGAAAGGGTGATGAATTCCGAAGCTAATGGAACCATTTCTGTTGTTACTTCATCGATTCCTATTTCAATCATTTTATCCTTTACCATCGAAACTACACTCATCGATACTTTAACTTCCTTACCACCATTGCGTACACCCATTTCATCTACATTACCTACTTCTACCATTTCACCTACTTTCTCAAATCTCACGAATCAACCCATTACTGCACTTTTCTCTTCTCAATCAACCGAAGGAAAAAATTCACTTCCATAAGAAGATCATGATGATGATGATGTGATGGTTTCTTTTGTTGAGATTCAGTTCGATGCATAGGAGGATGACATTCGTGATCATATTCTTATGTCAGGAAAGCAGTTTAAAATTTTAAATCATAAACTAAATTCTTTGTTACAGATTCAAGTGGGTACTAGGGGTCAAAATATTGTTTCTGAGATTGAGGTTGATATGTTGCTTAAATCCCAAGATAATCCGTTAAAGCTGGGCCATGGAATAGATCGAGTCGAAACATGAAGAGCATTTAAAGTGTCATGTTGAAAATTTTCAATATGAGGTTAAGGAACTTTGTGAAGTTTCTAAAGAACGTCATCTTCTGTTCGTGGAAGAGGTGAAGAAAGTGGAGGAGTCTTTCAATATAAATGTAGAAGCCCTTAAGTCTGAAATGTCGAAGGAGGTGGAAAAGATTGAACAAATCATTCGAGTCTTCATGACAAGATAGATGTTGTTGCTGACACTATAAAGAAGCTTATGGAGTATTATACTTCTTTTACTACCAAGTTTGTTGCCAAGACTAATACACATTCGAAGGTGTTTGCTAAGATGGAGGAATTTTTGGGGAGCTTGAAGGAGTCAATCTCGAAGATTGATACTTCTCATACATCTTCTATTTCTTAGGAGTCACTATCGAATATGGTTTCTTCATTAGAAACAAATCTCCAAGCTGACCTTCCTCCTCTTCTTCAGCTCGTGTATCTTCTGCCAATGAATGCCCCACCTGTCAAACATGTGGTGCAAGGGGGAGATAAGGGTGTTGGCACTTCGAAGGATTCAGATCCTGGAAAGGTTATGGGGAAGGTGTTGTCGACACATATTTCAACATCACTTCTTGTTTCATTAACAGCCACTTAAACTACAATAACTTCGAGACCACTGACTAAAAGTATTGTCATAGGACAAAGTGCAGGGGGGATCAAGTTCGAGTTCGAAGCCACCACCTTCGAATGAAGAAAAAGAAAATAAAGGGAAGGGGATCGAGATCAATCCTTCTGAAGAAGCAAAGAAGAAAGCCTTGGAGAAGGAGATTGAGAAGTCGAGACAAATAAATAGTATAATGCGTCAAAGATAAAGTGATCCACCAGGCTTAGACAAAGGTGATCCATGACTGCAATATTGTTATGAGACAATAGAGAAAATTCTCTTTTCTGGTGTTATGCATGATTTTGAAAAGATTCTAAAGAAGAGTTATGAAATCGAGAATACTGATTTTAATAAGCTCGATTTTTCGATTAACCACATGATGTTCATTTCTTCTCAGTATCGATTGGTTGATAAGTTTGAGGATAAAGAAGAGTTTATGAGATTGAAGTTGAGGTTTCATGCTATTCTGGGTAAGAAGGAAAATGAAGTATGGTCTTTGGTCAAGATAGTCAAAGTTTTGAATATTTCCAAAGATACATTATTCGAAGGCTTGTTACAGAACTTTCGATACCATGTGCTCAAAGCTAATAATGTTGCTTGTGACTTCTCTGTGGCATCCTTTTCTCTTATGAACCTCAATGATCTCATCAATGTGGCGAAAATATTGGTTTATGTTGATGTGTCGAAAATTCAAGTGAACAACAAAGAAGATTTCTTGTTGGGTTTTGCTTATATCAAACTGTTCATAGACAAATACTATGATTGTCTAGCTATGACAGATGTCGAACTTGCTTTGGCAATGAATAAAATAGTGACAGTGCCCTAATAGACGCTGAAAGGCCAAGGTAATCTCAAGAATTTTGAGGATGTGGAGAATGTTCATAAACCATTAGGTGTTGTTTTTGTTGGAAAGAACAAGCATAAAAAGGTGACCAAGTTTCTATTTCAAGTTTATGATGTAGAGAGGTACACAAACTCATAGTCTACAAATCTTCTTGTTCTTCTTAATAATTGCAAGAGGAATATAGCAGGATATAAGACCGAGATCCGAAAGACGATCATTATGTACACTGAGTTTCACATAGTACTTCACAAATGGGGAGATTGTAGAGTTCGAAGTATGTTGTGAGGTGTCGAAGTTCAGTTGGGCCTGATTGGTTTCGAAGTGTGTATTTTATATTTCGAATATCTGTATTACATAAGGCATTGTTTAGAGTTCGAAGTGTGAATGTCTAGTCTTTATGTTTTTTTATGTGTCTGTATGACCCTATAAATAAGGGTATGTATAAGAGTGAGGGTAACTTTTGTATTCTTGTCAGAATGAGAGCATTTTACTCTTTCAAAACTCTTGCATTCACTCAGAAGCAATGAAAGAGCCAAACATATTATATTTACATTCTTGTTCTTATTTCAATCTATACTCTGATTTTGTTCTTGACAATCGATTCATACGAACTACACAAGTGAGCTAGACAATAAATATCATCATTCTTCTTCTTTTTCTTCTACAGCAAAATAAGATCTTCTTAAACCTGGATTTTTAACAGAAATATGAACGAGATAGCAACAACATTCATTCCTGAAAGCTTGAAAATGCTTTGAATCAACACTTCAAAAATCGAAGACTCATCATAAAACATTTCTGGTTGCGAACCCAAAAATTCTTTTATTAAAATCGAAAAATACAGTATGAAAGTAATCGATAGGGAGTCGTTCCATTGAAATAATCGCTTAGATCTTCAATTTACGGCTCTGATATCAATTATTGAAGCCCATTTGGAAGATCGACTAGTTGCAGAATAATAAGATCTTGATATTTAACGATAACAAAAAACGTAAATGAAGAACATAAGATTAGTAATCAAATGATATTACTAGAAAGCGAGGTTATAATATAAAGAACGAAGAACACCTAGGTGGGAGAGATCCCAACCGAGAGTTTCTCTCCCTATAAGCCAAAGACTACATATTTGGTGCACACAAAATAAAATGACCATCCCTCTCTATTTATAGAGAGAGATAATGTGACATCCCCATTTTCACGGCTAGAAAAGACCGATTTCGTTTATGCTTTTATAATAAAATCAGAGTAATCTTTCAAAGAAAAGTGTTGCGGAAATTTTTCCCAAAACAAAATATGATAAAATTTATCAAAGCATTTCTTAAATAAATGTATTTTCATTTACAAAACATATGGATGTCATTTTCCGATACAGACCAAAAGCATAAACAGTACGATATGGGCCTTACAACATTTATTTACATCTACTGGCCTATAATCCAAAATCCCTCGTCATCATCCAACTATGCTCTTGTTCCACTACCTATAATACAATTACAGAAAACAGAGGGGGTCAGGCTTGGGAGCCTGGTGAGCACATATGGTTTTCAACCCAAAATAAATAAACTTATTCATTTCATCAACCAACAATAAATTTATTAATTTCATCAACCAACAATAACCCTGATTACCCGTTACCGTTACCCTCACTTTACGTCCCTAAACACCTATCATAAGGGACCTAGCATAAGGATTATCATCTGGATGGATAATAATGCTAAGGGGATTCATCCGCCATATATGTCCGAAAGGCAACCATGAGGGGGATGGAGTACACCAGTGAACACATCGCTCACAAACACCTACAGATTGCGAGTCTGATAGCGTTCCACTAGACTGTCTAGAAAGTTTCGTGGTCGTCATCTATACTCCGCTAGATGACTGGAACATGAACAACTTCGAGGCCTCTCATCATTTTTATTTCATCACACATCAACTATTTCATCTACCCATGTTATACCCAACATATTTGTAGATAAAAATACGTATACAGTTTAAATCATTCAAAACATGTATAAAACATTCATTCAACATCCATCTCAAATAAACAAACAATATATATATATATATATATATATATATATATATATATATATGCATACATATATATATATATATATATATATATATACACACAGATAACACGTATTTTATATAAAATACTTCATATCTATGTGTAAGATGAAAGTGACTATACACTCACTTGATTTAACGGTGATTGGACAAAACTTCGTCCCTTAAAACAACGTTTTTCGATGAAATCGGAATGTTTGCTCAAAAACCGGGCTTCACGCGGGCAGAGTTTCGACTCGAAAAACTCTTTTCTCGGGGTCTTCAGGTGCTCCGGGGCTTGCTTCGGGTATTAGGGTGGTTCCCTAGGCTTTGGGAGGTGTTAGGATAGCTTAGAAGAAAGTAGAAGGTGTAAAAAGTGTAAAATTTTGTAAACAATTTCAGACAGCCTCGCACTTCTATTTATAGTGGCCGAAGCCTCTTATTACGCTGGGCGTAACTTCCTGGTACGCGGGGCGTACTACCTTACAAGGCTCTACGCTGGGCGTAGTCCGAGTACGCTGGACGTAGGAGCGGATTACTTCGGATGCGTCACAGCTACAAACACGTATGTATCATGCGAAGGAATAGGGCGACATGGCCAACTTTGGACCGTGTACACGAGTACGCTGGGCGTACCCCCCGATTTTTATTTTTCAAATTTCAAAAATTTACAACGTTCGCATACGAGCTCCGTTTTCGACGCTCTTTATATAAACGCGTAGGTGGGATTATACTCTACAACTTTTGTTTAGACTCCGTAGGCTAATTTTGACTTTATTTTTAAAGTTATATTT